ACTAGATACAATGAAATCTCACACTGGGAGGCAGGAGAAAGCACTGGCAAGCTGAGGTCAACTGGGGGAAGAGCAGACTGGCCTCTCCTATTTTATGCTCAGGTAGAATGCAGATAGAACTATCCCCACCATTTATATACATTTTCTCTTTGTCTTATTCTTTTTTCTTTTTTTTTTTTTTTGCTGGGTAAGGACAAATTGATTCTGTGCACAGCAAATGGAATTGGGACTCAGCTCAGGGCACAGCTCAACACTAAACCCTAAGTAATCACCTGCCTCTTCTGCACAGCCAGGGGGTAGAAGCCAGTGGCCACCTGTGAGTGCACCATTGGTGGCCAGCACTGTGTTTTAGAGATAAATGATTGGCAGCTAAATAATGACCAATATGCCTCCCTTCCTTTTTTATTTTTATTTTTAACAGCTCAATGGTCTTCAATGGTCTCATGAATTTCAAATCTACAGAGTATGAATGAAGATTATCTGGCAGGTCTTGACTTCATCTTGCAAAATAAGCTGACTTATTCCAATAAGCCTGCTGTCTGTCCTTCACAGTCTACCTTAAGGTTTGGTCTTGAACAAGCAACTTGACTTTGGGAGTGTCCGTTCGGCTCAGAATAACATCCTGCAGAAGAAGGAGCCTGCCAGTTTTCACAGGGTTCTGGGAGTCACAGCTGGAGTGCAGGTTCATGGGTCGCTGCAGCTGCTCTGAAAGCTGCCTCATTTTTTTGGTCTAGTGTAGCCAGAACAGGAAACTGAAGCCTTGGTGTTTAGTCTCTCCATCTGCCCTTAACAAGCGCTGGGCAATGCTGGGGTCTTTAAAAGGGAGAAGGGCACAGTAAACTCATCCAACGTTTCCACTGGGAGGGAGGGGACAAAAAACCAGGTATAAGAGTAGGGAAGTTTAGCTTGGACTGTGTACCTGCTTGGTGCTCCAGGAAAAATACCCGAGAAGTGAGCACTGGGAGCTTAGATGCTTTGGGTCTAGTTCTTCTGGAAGCAAAGGTACCAAATACTCCCTAGTTCCTGAACAAGGGCCTTACACAGAAGTCAAGTACAATCCAAAATTAATCTTGTTATACCCAATACTGTGGTGTGCACATCCCTCTACCAAGCTGCCTTACAAAACTACAGGGTCCTGGGCTCACCCGCTGCCTTTGCAAGCAACTCTCTGTTGCCTCCCTGGAGACAGTGTCACCTGCTTTACAGCAAGGCTTTACTCTGCTTATTTGGGTTAAAGCAGAAAACCCATGTCAAAAGCTTATCACAATGCCTGGTATATCCTGTGAGCTCAATAATCCCTAGTAGTTGTTTTCATTCTTCCTCCAGTTTTTACTTACAATGGCTGATGGGCTTGTGCCATCTGGGCCCCATAAGCTCTGTTCTCATCTCTTTCTCTTCTCTCCCTTTCCAAGGGACTTCATCATCACTCATAAAATGTGCCAAGCTGACTCCCATACCACAGGTCGGACTCTGTGTGGACTGACTGCTGAGTTTACCCCAGGTGCCGAGAACAGTGTCTGGCATCCAGCATACTGGCAATTGTCATGAAAGGAACACACTGGCTTGAATGCTAAACTAGCTTCTACAGAAAATGGAGCTCAGACTGCAGAAGTCCTTGTATGTTTCTTAGTTAAAAGCTAACAAGTTGTTCCTTTTGCCACCAGGAGTGAATTCACTCAGTGTCAGCCTCCAACCCCATGTCCACAGAGTAGTGTGGCATAGTGAAGTGCTATTATTATTCCTTATCTTGAGAAGAAAGACAAGTGGAGAGTGGTGCGGGAGAATTGTCTGTAGTCTGTCAATCATGTTATAAATAAACGCTGATTGGCCAGGCAGGAAATATAGGCAGGAAAACCAGACAGGAAGTAGAAATGATGTAATGAGAACAGGAGAATTCTGGGAAGGAGGAAGTTGATTCCTCCCACTCCTGCCCAGACCACCGAAGCAGCAGGATGTGATCTGCCTCACTGTAAAAGGTACTGAGCCACATGGCTAACATAGATCAGAAAAATGGGTTAATCAAGATGTGAGAGTTAGCCAGTGAGAGGCTAGAGCTAATGGGCCAATCAGCTTATAATTTATGGAGACCTATGTGTGATTTTCTTTGGGACTAAACAGCTGGGGAACTGGACAGAACAAAAACCACAACAACAAACAAGCAGGCCTGGCCCCTCCATGTTACAGGAGAGAGGTTAGTCTACTAAAGGGCACTGGCATGACATCAGGAGCCACTAGCCAGAGTGGTATCAATTCCGATGGCTTTGGGGATATGGCTTACTGCAGCTCTCTTGACGGTGATGTACCATGGGTCCCTCTTCCCTGTGGTCCTAACTGCTGAGGGTCTAACATGTTCCCTCCCAAGTCCTACCAAGTGGTGATGGAGGAGAGTAGGTGACAGACCAGAGGCAAGAAAGCAAGTCCCAAGTATCTGATTCTATTGGAATCATACAAGTCCAGCTAACCATTCTGAGATTTAAAATAATGTCTAAAAACATTCAGATAATGTTAAAACCTGAAGCTAGTAGGTCATATCAGACATTACTTGGAGTTGAGGTGACGCTAGTGAGGCCGATGTCTACAAACTGCCCATGAGTGACCAAATGGACGTCTTCCTCTCCTATGGACTTCAAGCGTGGGGACAATATCCTATGCAGATGTGCACTCCAGTGTCTCGTAAGCAGTGCTCATAAAGGGCAGTTGAATGGGACAGTGCCACCCTGTTAAGACAGCACAGCCTCTAATCTGCCACCTTGTCACCTTTTATTTGGTTTAGCCTGAGATCTAAATGGCATGGCCTTGAAGTAAGCCAGATCCAGCAAAAGAAAGCTAAAATCAATGGTCAGAGCATAGTTTTCAAGTTATGTGCCATTTCCTTAAATGAATGCTTGCTACAAGTCAAAAGTTCTTCATTCTCAATACAGTAATTACCCCGAATTCCCATTGAATAAAAGCACTACAGGAACTGCTGTTCTCTTGGGGGAGTGCCTCTCACTTTTGCAAAACAGGGTGTTGACAAGCGCCTCCTCCCTTTCGGGTAAGGGACGTGGTGATGACATGCCTGTGTCCACCAGGTTGTTTAGACCCTCCCGACTCCACTGTGCAGACCTAAAACTGTAAATGATGTAGTAGCTGACACCGTGACTGTTTTCAAGGTTTGCTCTCATAGTTCACGGGGTCACAGCAGAGGGGAAACCAAATAGAAGAAAAGCAACGTGCTCATAAAGTATGGTATCCTTCAGCAGTGAGTGGGGGTGAGGGCGGCACCTCCATATCTTCGGAACAACTGTTTCAGGCTCTGAGCTGGCTCCTTACCACTGTCCTGTCTTAATCCTGAATTGAGCTGTATAGTCATCAAGAGAGTCAGTTTAAAAGCCACTCTGCTTATTCTGAAACGATGCTCACAGGGATCTTAAATTGGTCACAAGAGGCCACACACCACAGGGTACTGAAATGAATCACCTCTCTGGGTGGGGTCTAAACTAAAAACAAAAAACAAAAAGAAACCCATAGATGAATTAGGTGTAGAGTCACCATTAAGAGTCCTGCTCATGCTCAGTAGTATTCAATTTGTTTGAAAGAAATAATATATTATTTTAAATTATGTGCTGTGTGTATTTCTGTATGTGGGTAGGCGCACAAGTGAGGGCAAGTGGCCGTGGAAAGTAGAAGGCAGTATTGGACTCCCCTCAGCTGAGTTACAGGCAGTGAGCTGTCTGACAATGAACAAACCCAGATCCTGTGCAAGAGCAGTGCTTGTGCTTAACCACTGAGCCATCTCTCCAGGCCCTCCACTTAATTCTTCAAAGAGCCTGGCCCACTTTTATGGGTCAGCAAAGTACTCTGAGGACAGGTTAGCTCCTAGCACTGCCTGGCTACTGAAGTACAGCCCCAGAACTGGAAGCCTTGACTGTGGTTCCTCAGAAGGGAGGAATCAGTCAGGTTGATTTCAACCGCTGGCTTACACTCAGAGGGCCCAGACTTGGAGCAGCTTTCTTAATCCCACTTCGGGTTTCTTCTCATCTGTGAAATGGGCACATTAACAATGCACCTCAGAGGGCTGAGGTAAGGACAAGTGAACTAACTTATAAAGATGCTTGCAACAGTGCCTGGCATCCAGTCAGCATTATTTTTGCAATTACCTGACTTCAAAGCTCAGGCTGCTTCTTCTACATCAAGGGTTAATATTACAAAGCATACATATTCATATTCTGATACATTGCATAATTGCTTAGCTTATTGGAAGCAATCAAGAAACGTTTCCTAATTAAGGCATCCCACCCTAGTTCTCAGTGTGTGTCATTCTAGAAGGAATAGTTTTAAGAACAAGACTCAATGAACACAAAATTTCCTTAAACTCAGAGAAATAATTCCTATTAGAATACTCAGGGAGTGTTCTCCCAAAGGGGGTCACTTAGAGAGTACATTAAAGAATTGCTTCTGCGCGCGTGGTAGGGGAAGAGCAGGTAAGGGAAGCTCCGGGGACACAGGCTGACTCCAAGAGCTTCCTTCTGCAAGGGCATCTTTACAGGGATGCAGCACTAGCTCCAGCATACTCGGACACTCACCTTAACTGGAGAGGGCACAATCACAATAACGCAAGAGGCTGTTCAAAGTGTGTGTGTGTGTGTGTGTGAGAGAGAGAGAGAGAGAGAGAGAGAGAGAGAGAGAGAGAGAGAGAGAGAAGAGGGAGAGAGAGAGGGGGAGAGGGGGAGAGGGAGAGAGGGAGAGAGAGGGAGAGAGAGGGAGAGAGAGAGAGAGAGAGAGAGAGAGAGAGAGAGAGAGAGATATTAGCTTGCTGATATTTAGAACCCTCACAGTATAGTGAGGTAATGGCAATTTCCTTGATCAAGTGACTGTGGATAACAACATTTGCAGCAAGGAAGTATACTCAGGTTCCGAACACTCTTATTTTCTATGTGAAATCAGAAAATCAGTTCAAGTAGCGTTCCTTTTTTATTTTACTTTCATAAGAGAACAAGCAAAATTTCAAATCCATTTTTGTTCCACAGAAGCACATTTGATTACAGAACAAACCAGTTGGCTTCTCCTCGGCCTTCATTCCCTCTGTTCTAGGAGGGAAAGGAGCCTGAAGTTTCCTGTATAAATCACCACAGCCAAACTCAAAAGCCGAACAGAAATAAGCTCCACCACAGCCAAACCCGTCAGTTAGCTTCCTAGTCTGGGTAAGCTCTCTAGCCTTTAGAGCCTTGCTCCGCCTCATATACCTCCTCCCCTCCACTCCTCCTAGGGTACAGGGAGGTGGGGAACCATCCTACATCCCCTCTCCTCCACTCCTCCTAGGGTACAGGGGAGTGGAGAGCTTTCCCATTCACTATGTCTGCTCCACAGACAGGTTGAGCTATGGGGTAAACTAGATATGACAAGCACTGACCTTCATCACACCTCACTTGAAAGACAACTGTGTTCACCTCAGAGGGCGATGCACGGCTCTCACATAATGCTTAGCACACAGGATGGTTTAGTAAGGACTTGCCATCATTCATTTTTCTATTACTTGAGGGCTAGTCATTTAAAAATCAGAACTAAACCGCAGTTCCTATAGCACATCACTGAATAGTATTTGGTTCCTCTGTGGAGTTCAAAAGGCACACAGGTGAGGATTATCTAGTGGTCCAGGACCTTTAGGAAAAGCAACACCATAACTGGGTCATGATGTGCTTGCTTCACCCAGAGCAGTGTTTTAATTAACAAAAGAGTGTCAAAAGTGAATTCACGAAGGCTTAACTCCAGCTTCGTTGTCGCCTCCCTTTACTCTGGAGTAGCAAAATTCAAGTTCTGCCCATCAATCTAGTTATTATTTTCAGCCACTCCCAGCTGAGCCCCAAGCCCACATTAGGTTGAGGAGCAGGTAAGACAGAGGTGACACTACAAAGGGGACAACTTTCTATTCTTCTTTCTCTTTCCCCCTTTGTCCCCTACAGGAGTGCACAGCGCACAGGAGGCTGAGCTCTGGTGTCGCTCTCAGTGTGCCAGAGAGAAGGATGGGTCTTCAGGGAGGTGCTCCTTCCTGGGGGAGCTTCCTGAGGCATGCTGGGACTCTTTCTAGAGAGAGCAGCTTCTGAATTTGGCTCAGTAGTCTTTCCTCCTTCAACACCCCTTCTTTTCTCATTCTGTACACACCGAGAGCTGGTGAAACTCACACTCCCAAGCTGCACATGACGTTCTTTCCACGACAGAAACAAGGACAGCAGACAAGGAGCTCCAAAGAGACAGAAGGCGCAAGAACTGACAAAAACATCAGAGAACCAGACAGAGGCAAGGGCTGAAAGCGGCACAGCTTTTACTGGAAACAAAGGACAGGGAGGCACACGAGTCAGAAAAGGGTTCTTGCCTCTCTTCTGCAGTCAGAACCTGAGGTCATCACAGCAACACGACAGTTGAGAAAGGCTTAGCTTAAGGAGTTTCTGGTGGCAGATTCTCGGCCCACGCTGAGACACAGAGTAGGGAGAAAGGGTTTACTGTGCTATAAACCACCTTTAATCTCAACTGGTAAAACCAGAGACACACATCTCCATTTTCAAGTGTTTACCTAGTGACACCACACTGGGGATCTAACCAAAGTGCTGTCTGGATTATCCAGTAAAAGTCACATAATAGCACTTGAGGAGCTCGGATAAAGAACACTGTGAATGAATTTGTACTGCAAAACAAAGTCCCAGGTGGGTGTGCAATCTTCATTTCACTTTATGTTTTTTTTTTTAACAAGTATAACCTCATGAACAACACTTATCTGGTATAGAACTACGTTTTGTTTCAGAGAGCCAATCCAGTCATATGAAGTGATTTTCACACGAAAGTACAAGACTTAAACTTTTGCCCTAGGTTAGTAATATAAACACCACAGAAATGAATCCATTGGGGGAAATGTAAGCCAAAACAATGAGACACCACTTCACACCCACTACAGTGGCTACAGTAAGAAGGACAGGCAGTAACAAGTGCTGGCTGAGGACGTGGAGCAATTGGAACCCTCAGACACTGCTGGTGGAAATGTAAAATGGCGCCGCCGCTGTGGGAAACAGCCTGGCAGTTCCTAAAAGGGATAAACATAAGAGTTACCATATGACCCAGTAGTTACACTCTGAGATAAACACCACAAGAAATGAAAACGAAAACTCATGTCTACTTGTACACAAACATTCAGGCAGCATTATTCATCACAGGCAAAAGAGAAAAACAAGCAAGATGACCACCAACGCATGAGTGGATAAAGGTGACATGTGTGTACAATGGATTAAGAGGCATGAAAGGGAGTAAGTGTGGATACATGCTTCAACATGGATGAAACTGGAAAGCATCATGCTGAATCAAAGAGCCAGACAAACCAGACCACATGAACATACTTGTATGCAAAATCCCAAACAGCAAGTCTACAGAGAAAGAACTTCCATGTGCAGTTGCTGGAGTTGGGGGAGGTTGGAAGAAAATGGGAAGTGAGTACTAATAGAGTTTTTTTTTTCTTTTGCTACACTTGTCAAAATGGTTGCACAGCTATGTAAACATGTGGAAGTCAGTGGACACTCTGCTATGTGATTCTATCAATAAAGCTGACCCAGAAGACTCATAGGACATAAGAGGAAAGATGACATGTAATGCATGGTCCCATCATCATCCAAACTTTGGAAAGGGAAGAATCTATAGCAATCAGTCACTGAGTTGCTTATACAGAAGCTTCAAGTAAGCACCAACAGGAGTTGTTCTAATGAATAAAGTAAGGCAAAAGCTCTGTGAAGTACACTCTTAGATCTGGTTTGCTTTCACAGTGATTTCTTGGTTAGTATTGGCAACAAATATGCTAGCTTAACTCCCAAACCCCCACATTTCTTAGATTCTTTTACCCCTGGTCCCTTTTACCATCACCAAGATCACTAGAGACAATCCAACATATAGACAAAACACATCCTGGCATATCTTTAAAACCTGCCTGCACGTCCTAAAGAATATGTCTTTTGCTTGTTATTTGTAAAATTTTATTCCAAATCTCCTTATAGGATTGACTGAATTCTTATCTCCTATTGTAAACTTAACCACTTGATACTGTTTTATAATTACATCAAACTCTGGGCTGGGAGTCTATCAATTGAAACTGGAAAATAAGAATTAAAAAAGTCAGTCAATATTAAAAGATACCAACTAACATTTGTGGCATGTATTTATATTTTGTTTGTTTTTATGATAATCTCTTAGCAGCTAATACTTTAAATGAACCAGTAAATGTTTAAGTGCAAACCACAGTGTTTATGTATGTGCCAAGATTATGAACAGATAATAAGCAAACAGAAAGTTATGACTACCATTGCCATCCTCTTGGGATGAACAGGTGATGACACCTTTTGAAAGGTTTTGTTCTAGTTTTATGTCTTCCTCCCTCTCTCCTTCCCAGAACTGTACACCACAATTCTGCTTTGCATTTATTCAAACATTTACTGCCTATTTGTATCACCAGACTATAATTTCCATGAAGGCAGAGCTAATATTTTCTTCTGCTTATTGAATAAAGGCACAGTGATTGCCTGTGGTTGGGCACTTCTCTATGTACTACAGCAGGAAGCATGAACCTGGCGTAAGGGGAGCCATTAGCTGGAAGATGCAGGCATTCAGGCTATAAGAACCGTGAACCTGCTCAGGACTGCTACACTGTGCTTCTCACTTCATGCTTCCCTGGAGTTTCGTGGTGGAAAGGTGGTCAATCTAGCACACGACAGCCCGCCCTACCTGAGAATTGCCTGCTTTGTGTCTGGGTGGATACTATGGCACCACACTTCCATCACATGGCCCTGTCTCCTTGGCCATAGTTGTTGGGACCACAGGGATTTCTGACCTATGCCACACCAACCAATTTCCTTCTGAGAAGCTGAAACTGGAACTGAGATATTTCAACTCAGTATGGATTCTTTAGTTGAACTGAAAGAGGACAGAGAACCTGGAGTGGTAAGAGGAAGCCATTTTTTGCCAGATGGCCGGGGAGGCTGGTTTAGAGAGAAATGAAGAGGCACTATATGGAAAAAATACAGGTGTTCTAGTGTGGTGACGTTTCACTTGTGTTTTAATAGATCAAGCTTGCCTGAAGATCAGAGAGAAAAACAGTCCCAATCCTACTGGTCAGCCTTACAGACCTAGCAGTTGTGACACACACACCTTTAGTTCCAGCAGCCACACTAGGTAGCCATAAAAATGGGGCAGTAGTGGTGCATGTCTTTAATCCCAGCCCTAGAGGGGAACATAAGACAGGAGAAGACAGCTCTCAGACACAGCCTCATTCTGAGATTCCTGGAGGCAGGATTGCCATTTCAGACTGAGATAGAGCCAGTGGCTGGCTGCTTTGCTTTTCTGACCTTCAGGTTGAACCCCAATATCCGTCTCTGGGTTTTTATTAATCATGTTACATTCTAGAAAGAGATAATTTCCATTTCTAATGCCTGCTTTAGTCCCTTATGAGAAAAAACTATTTGCCCCAAATGTTTACTTAAATTTGCAATTTTGTTTTACTAAAGTCAACCTGTGTTGGTACCTTTTTGCTTTTAATAACAACTTTTTTTTTAAATGTTTATTTTATTTATTTATTATGTATACAATATTCTGTCTGTGTGTATGCCTGCAGGCCAGAAGAGGGCACCAGACCCCATTACAGATGGTTGTGAGCCACCATGTGGTTGCTGGGAATTGAACTCAGGACCTTTGGAAGAGCAGGCAATGCTCTTAACCTCTGAGCCATCTCTCCAGCCCCTTTTAATAACAACTTTGAGACATGTCTAGTTGTTCTGAATATTAAGACCCACATTCTCACCATTTTTATAGCACAGACTTAAGGTCTATTACCAGACAGTGTAATTTTCCTCAATGCCATGACAACACTGCAGCTGTCGTTCTAATATTATGCGTCTCGGGTGTTTCCTAGAACTTTCTTGCTTTCTTCACTAGGGATTTTCTAATAGAGCCTCATTTTATTCAAAGGTAGAATGTCAAAACCCAGGATTCCTTAAACTTCACACACAATAATACTATCATATGCATAAAGCAGCTTTTGTGGCTAGTTTGCATGCAGGGTAGAAAATAATTCCTCTTATAAACGTCAATGGTGTATTTGTACTCATAGACAAGAAGGCTTTGATAGTAAATGCTTTGATTGAGACACAGCAATTGGGCAGCTAGTCTGATTAACAACTGTTGACTGGAGAAGCTAGAACTTGAACTCACCTGAAATACAAGAAGGGCTCTTAGCTTGGACTCAAGAAACTTGACCTGTATATTCGGGTGAGTGGGAAGAGATCTAGTCTACAGAGAGATCGATAGTACCACACCCACAGACATCTGGTGCTTTCCCTGTCTATCACTTCAAGGAGTAGCTTGACTTTTTTTTTTTTTTTTGCCTTGTAAGAGCTTGCAGTTAACCCTAGAAACCAGACAGGGACCAGGAGACCACAACTTACTTGGATGGGAGGCATCTAAACCACCTCTGGTAGGCCAGAGTGCTGGATGTGAGAGGATAAGCGCCAGGTGAGTACGAATAAAGGCAGAGAAGGGATCCAGGGATGGAGGGGTGCGTGTTAACATCCAGTGTTCCCAAACAACTGTGCAAACAAGGCACGCTGGACAAGTACCTGTAGATTTCCTCCAAGAACCTCCCCCAAATTTCTTGCATTTTGATTTTTCTAGAAAGTCCCATCCTGTTCAACAAATATTTACTGGGGACACAGTAAGTTTTAGACACTGCTATAGACAGGGAAGTACAAAGAACGAATTAAGATAACAGTATTTATCCTAAAGAATCACCCAGCAATGAAGCCTCAAGCCTTGACCGATAAAGAACATTAACAACAAAAGCTGAGAGAAGCATTGCAGACACAAAAGGTAACGGCCCTGGGAAAGGGCTATGGCACAGTGAGAGAGGACATTTGAGAAATACCAGAGGAGCAGAAGGATGGATTGCAGTTACTGGGAGTGGAGGACGAAGGCCGGACTAGTCATGACCAGAATGCTCTGGGGAGTGAATGATGACCCACTTATGTGGGCAATGCAGGAAGGAAAAGGGACATGTTGACCCTGAGATGCTCCGGAGATATCCCAAAGGCGAGAGAACGAAGCAGTAAGGGCGAGATTGTAGGGGAAGACCTCATTCAGGAGCATGAAGGTGGAATGGGCACTAAAGCCATGGTAACCACTGAAATGAACAGGCAGGGACAGGACAAAGAAGGGTAAATGTCCAGAAAGAGAATCCCGAACAACCGTGTTTGAAGTATGGGTGCAGGAGTGGAGAAGGAATCCACAAGAGAACAAAGAGGGAGTGAGAACACTGCCATCAAGAGAATCAGCACAGTGGTGCACACCTCGTCTCCAATACTTAGAGGGCTGGAGAAGGGATACAGTCTGAGCCCAGGAGTTAGAAATCAGTATGGACAACATAGTGAGACCCTCCCTCAAAACACCACCAACAAACCCAAGAGCACTGACTGGAAACACTGAGGTGATGGAGAGAGTCTGAGTTAACAGAGGGCAGAAGCTTGGGCCAGATGCAGCCAAGAAGTATTTCCTGAGACGTCTCACTGAATGGTGGAGGCTCTCAGAAGTCTGTAGTTCAAGAAAAAAAATGAACGTAGGGAATATTTCTGGTAAGACCTCTCCTTTGAGGGGAAGGAAGAGGGACAGCCCCAGCTACACAAGAATAACCTCTGCTGCCTTTTCTTTCTGAAGGAGAGACTTGAGTGGCTGTGCAGGTAGAAAGAACAGGCAACTGCAGGTAATGGTGAGAGAAGGCTTTCTGAGTTAGGGCATCTATCTGAACAATGCTTGGCTTCTGCTGTCTCTTGCCAGGAGAGCTATGGAAAGACAAGGGTCTGCGGAAGTAAGTCAGCAGCAGGTACATGGCAATGTGGCATGAAACCCACAGCAAATCCAGAGATGCAAATTCTATACTGTACTGATTTCAAGGTTTCTTACATGACTGGTAAAATCCTACAGATGAAGGACATATGTGGTGGGGTTAGAGGAAGGTCACCCAACACCTGATGTTTTGGGATAAATAATCATTGCACA